CCGGTTGAAGTTCGGTTAGTTGCCAGTTTTAAAAACAGGAGCGTGCACGTGAAATCGCGACGTCTCTCATCCCTTTTCAAGATGAGAGCTCTGACGCCATATGCCAAGCTGGGCTGGAGCTGAACTGAGCTTGCTGCACGCCTCCCCGAGCCCCCGAGCCCCCTGCCCGAGGCCCCGCGTGGCCCGTCACACCTCCGCCTATTCTCTCATCGTGCTCTCTCTCCAGTCTCCTGGCCCCTGGGGTGTGTTTGCGGCGGGGATCTGAGGGCGTGAGGAAAGGTCCCTCTCGCCACTGCGCTCAGTGCTGGCCCTGGACGCAAGAGTGAGTCGGGGTCTCCCCGCCCTCGCAGAGCCCCGCTCCTCCCAGCACCCCGCCTGCATGCCACCTGCAAGGCCGCCGGCCCTGCCGGCCACTCACTGGCTTTGGCCACTGGCTCCTAATGCCACAGTGAGGCCTAGAAGTCCTTTCGTTTTATCCTGGGGTGGCGATCGTCAGAGCCCGCAAGTGTTGCTGCAAGGGCAGCATACCTGAGAACTGGGGACTTGTCCGGGTGACACCAGGGCATCTCTGCCTCCATCACCGGCTGTGGTGCCCAGGAGAACTGGGGGCTTGTCCGGGTGACACCAGGGCATCTCTGCCTCCATCACCGGCCATGGTGCCCAGGAGAACTGGGAGCTTGTCCGTGGTACACGGGGCATCTCTGCCTTCATTGCTGGCTGTGGTGCCCAGGTGTGGACTTGAACAGAACTGGGTCGCCATGTCAGCCTGTGACCATTTTTCTAGGAGAAATTGTTCTCTCCCTGCCCTACCCAAATTCTGGGGCTTCTTGCTTACCAGCTTTGCTTCTCTGGGCCAGTCCATGTTAGTGATTAGTGCACTTTCTCATAAAGAAGAGAAGGGCACCAAAAGACGGAGAGGAGCCCAACGTCCACCAGCAGGAACTGGCCAGGAGGCCGTGCACAGCTGCACACAGGACAGCTGTGAGAGGTACGCCTACGTGATCTCCAGAACATACTGTTGGGGGAAAACCTAGGTGCAGAATGGTGTGTATATTCTTTTATCAGATGGGGTGGGAGCAGTAAGAGCATGCTAATTTCCTTACATTAAAAAGTAACATTAAAGTGCTTACCAACCAGGGGCAGGAGGGTGAGGAATAGAAATCAGGTTTCTCTAAATGTGCTTGTACATTTGGCTATAGAACTGCATAATTATAAAACCAAAAATAAATCAAACAGAAAAAAAAACCCTCCTCAAAGTTGGAAACAAAATGAAAAAAACACAACAACAACAAAAGCAAAAAACCACCCAACTATATGCCAGGTCGGGGGCTTAACCAGACAGAAAACGATCATTTTGGGTGAGTTTGATACTCAACAGTTGGGTTGTGCATACGTAGTAGACTAAATCCTAAGGGCAAAAAGAGCTGCAAAGAAACCTTAACTTCTTTGCAGTAATCCTGGTTTTTGTAATAATATTGACATTGCTGTTCTGGAATTATATGAAATGCAGTAAGGCAAATAAGTAATATGGTAATATTACAAACCAATATTTCTAG